AAATGACGGTTCTCAATGTGTACCACTCGGAAAAATCTCTTCCGCTGTTTCAGTACAACCCAGTGCATCTCAAACTTTTGCTCTTTCTTGGTTAACTGTTTCTGGAGTAATTCATTTAACAAATATATATATATATATTTTTAAAAAAAGGTAAAAATTCACTTTGGAAGAGACATCTCTCACCGGTGTCGGTGCTAAATGTCAGTATGGCTCTAGGGACCTCACTGTCCGGTGTCGGTGCTAATGTCAGTGTGGCTCTAGGCACCTCACTGTCCGGTGTCGGTCCTAAATGTCTGTATGGCTCTAGGGACCTCCTTCGATAGAAATATGTCCTGGCTTCTCAAAATGATATTTGAAAGTTAGGTTTTTCCTGCAGAAGTTAGAAGCTTCACATAATTTTTTTTTTAAAGCGCCTGTGTCCTTGCCTGCAGGATGAGTTTTTAGGTGGACGCGCATAGGCAAAATAAAAAAAAAACAAACAAAAAAAAAAAACAAAAAAACACTTGGGCTTGGTTCGACTTCGATAGAAATATGTCCTGGCTTCTCAAAATGATATTTGAAAGTTAGGTTTTTCCTGCAGAAGTTAGAAGCTTCACATAATTTTTTTTTTTAAAGCGCCTGTGTCCTTGCCTGCAGGATGAGTTTTTAGGTGGACGCGCATAGGCAAAATAAAAAAAAAACAAACAAAAAAAAAAACAAAAAAACACTTGGGCTTGGTTCGTGGAAGTTATTGGTAGAAGAACCGTTCGATAGTTAAGTTTTTTTCCCTTCATTTATACACTCGAGTGTTTAAAAAAAAAAGAAAATAAGAAAGAAAGACATTTAAATTTAGTTGAAGATTGCCCACTGGGGCCGACACGTTATCTATGAATGGCGAAGTCCAAACTCACACAGAGCAGCGAACGAGACAGCGGCTGTACAAACAGGAGTGCCGCAAACGTTGATAAGAGATAAGGACCGGTACGTTTATAAATAGCACGACCAGTACAATCTCGCCACCGCCATCGAGATTTCAAAACAACAACAATCCCCACCCCCTTCCCCGGGGGGGGGGACAAACTTTGTGACGTCATAAACCCTACTTTTTGAACTGACATCCGTTATGATACACATTACGTGTTTCATTATAATAGTGTCTCTAGTCTTATTCTTTTAGTTGCCCAGTGAGACGGGAAAGGCTCTTAGCCGAAACCTTCTTCTCTTATTGTCCTGTCTTTCGATTCAAACTTACACATACCTTGTTCTACAACTTCCCTGCCACAGCTTGAAAAGGCAGTCCTTCATTTATTATTCTTTATTCAATAGCTGCATAATTAATATCGCAATCGAAACACCACCCTTCGAACAAATTATTAATATCCCCCCACCACCCCCATTTTTTTTTTTGAAAAAGAGGAAAAACTGATTTTTGGGGGTTGGGGGCTGAACATTTGAGAGAATGCTTTTTCATCGGCAAGGAGTCTTTACAGGCAAAGTTTTATGGTGATAGGATGACGGTAGGTGGGGTAATTTGCCACACAAAAACACACGAACATAAGCGAAGTTAATATAAAGGAATTAAAATTAGCAAAGATATTGTCCTATCTCAAAGCGCTGATGACGCCTTATGTACCCACTAGATCACTCCGTTCATCCGATAGTGGCAAAATCTGGATACCGCGAGAAGACGCACTTTCGCTTTTGCTGGCCCAAGTACATGGAACGCCCTTCCTGTCGCTCCCAGAAACAGCCAGACACTGCAGTCTTTCAAAAATGAGTTGAAAATCCATCTTTTCCGCACTTACGTGCTAGGGTGATGGAGTCTACCTCCTTGTTTCCAGCTTGCTCATATTCCTCGATGTAGATTGGCTTGTATTGTCCACTGGCTTGTACGTGGATTTGTATTGTTGCCTTTTGTAGTTTATTGTGTAAAAATATAAATTGTCATATATGGTTGACTCTGTACCGGGCTTCGAACCTTAATTAGGGATGAAGTGTGTTTCTGAAATGTACTTTATTCTTCTTCTTATATAGCTGATATTTAAAAAGGAACCTTCCAAATGTGAAAAGAAAGAAAAATATGTCAATGTATCAATTTATTTACAAATGAAAAAACTTTCACTAGCACTTAGAAACGGGAAAGGCAAATAACTTTTAAATTTGTCTAGCTTTTCTCTCTTAAAAAGAAAAAGGTTGAATAACTTCATATTTTTTCTTCAGAAAAAACGTGCCAAGTACCCCAACTGTGTTGCCGTCAATGCACAATGTGATCGCTGATCAATAAAGGACTCCATTCTGGACGTCGTGTTCCTTTGTTGCAAGCTTACAGGCCGTGTGTAACGGAGCAGTGGGTTACAGAGGTCGGTTGTGTCACCCAGGAAGGCATTCTGTATATGGGTCAATACAAACATTATTTTGTGACATGGGAAAGACGGAAAAAATATTGTGTTTTATTTATTACAACCGAGCTTACTGTACTACGGCGGTTCTCATTATTTTGTGGGATAGAACCTAATAGATCCTACGTGGTTTATAAAGAAGGAAGTTTAGTTTAAGATGGCTGTAGCCAATAAACACAATAAAAAAAGGGATTACAAGCGACACATATAACATAATAGAAATGATCCAACAAGAGCAGTCACGTGACTTGTGCAAGAGAGGGGGGGACACCCCCACCCGCCCCCGGTCAACTTTCAGTTTTGTGACTAAAGCATTCAATTTTCAGTTTAATATTAGTTTTCTACTATTACAACTTTAGGCCCCTTAAATAGCCAAGGCCCTCCTCCCGCACCCCTCTTGGGGTCGCAGAGGTTGCAAGAGTATACGCTGAGGCTCTAGACGAGTCAGTATCTAAACGCCGCATGTTAGGGAGGTAGCTTTGTGATCGTCGAAATCTGCAGTCTTGACTGTCAACAAGGTGTACTTACATTCTTATGTAACACATCATAATACTTAGATGTTAATTATTGGGGGGGGGGTTAGTGACAGGGGGTGGGAGGAGAAGGAGGGGCGGGGCAGATCTGGGCACATTTATTCATGATGTGTGTGTGTGTGTGTGTGTAAATGCGAAAATTCATTCTAAAAATAACATTCCATTTTTTAAAGTTTGCATGGGTTCCATGGACAGACACATTTTTTCAATGCTGATTCAATGGTAACAGAAGGAATGCAACATTTGGTGAACCAACTTCATTAGCCAGGTGACAAGTTTCAAAAGTTGCATTCCAGATTTTAAAGCAAAATATTTGATAAGATAATCTCTGACATGGGCAAAATATTACAACTTCAAGTTACTTTCCAATGAGGAATCTTTAATTAAACCCCTTTGCATTTTAATTAATTTTAGAGGTCTTTTGTGGGGAAAAAAACCCCCAACATTTCTGTTCCTATTTTTAGATACAGTAGTAAACAGCAGCCAAAAGTTTGAATAATTCGTGATTTTGAATACACTAGAACTCAGTTGGCAAAGAGCACACGAGGTGACCACGTTACTAGCTTTGTGAAAACACCATTTCTCGATCAGGGCACCTATCCAACGTATTTTTATGCGTCGCAGAAGACAATACCAGTTGGCAACAAACCCATCATAAATCACCCCAACGCACCACAGCTGGACGTGATTTAAAAGACACGCTTGCAGACCTGGGTTACACACTGGGGAATAGTTATTTTGAAAGTGGAAATAAATAGATCGATAGGTTTTTTTTTTTTACTTACTTACTCACTCATGCCTTTTTAACTGGTCTGGGGCATAGGCCTTCCACAAAGATTTTCAATTCGTCATGGTCCTGTGCTTTCCAGTTGCTTCCATGTGCATCCCATACTTTGCGTGTCTGCCTCTAGCTCGCGTCTCCATGTATTCTTTGGCCTTCCTCTCTTTCTTTTTCCCTGTGGATTCCATGTTAGGCATTGTCTGGTAATGCTATCTGTTTTTTTTTCTTAAATGACTTAAATGAAGGTTTTCCCAACCTGGCATGGGAGCCCCCCCCCACTCCCCCCACCCCCGTGATGCGAAGTGGGATTTCTGTGGATGCGAGCAAATATGATTTAAGGACAGAGGAGACTTTGAATTGGAAGCTATGATATAAATGTTTTTTTTCTACACAATTTTTTTCTTTCATTCAAATATATGCAATATGTCACATGTTTATTTTCTAAGTTCTACAAATCTCTTTGAAATTGAATAAACTTTGCATGGCTACTTTTTTGTGGTGTTGCCCAGAGTTGGCAAATAATGTGTAGCGGGTGCGAGACTAAGCCATTAACATTCTGTGCAGATGATGAAATCATTAAAGTTTGGGCAAGACGATTGAATTATAATACATCCCATACATTTTAATATAAGACATGCCACTATGAAGAGACATGTTAAGACATGAGCGTGGTAAGACTTTTAGGGCTGTATTTCATAGACGACATTCATAGTTGACCATATAAAAAATGTATTTTGGAAAACACGTCGGCATAATTTACCATGAAGTTTCATGTACCATCATCTAGGGTGCCACCTTTTAAGTGACTGCTTAGTTTTCTGAATGAACAGCCACGTTTACAAACCAGTGACAATGCACGGTGAACAAGTCTTCTCCCGCATCAGCGGGTAAGGCGAGCTAAGCCACGTCAATGCATTTCAAATTTGACGCAGTATTTATTACAGTGCCGGTGTATAGCATTACCGAGTGCAACGAGAGTTAAAACGAGCTACCGTTAAAGCATTTTTATAACACCCGTATCGGCTTATGGTTGTACAGGGGGTATGACATTATGAAGTGGGGAAAAAATACCCCCCCCATTCAATTGGAATATTTACCGATTCTATTGACAACCTTCTGAAAGAGTTTCCTCGAACCATCCCACCCAAAACGTGAACCCCAAAATCAGTCCCAGGTCTTCAAATTGCCTGGCGAATCACGTTACACAAAGTTCCTTGCTATTATAATGTCTTTCAAGTCACCCGTAAAAAGGAGGGGGGGGGGTGGTATCCAGGTGTCTTTATTTATTACCTGAACAATTTCGGGGCAACTCTCCCAACGATTGGACACATGTTTGCAGAACTCGTCTATAAAGGTTATGCTTAATGCAAATCCTTTAATCCGATTCTTGGGAGTTAAATAGCTTTTCATCTATCGCACCGTCCAGTGGAAGTCGGAGGTAATAGTCAAGATTTATATTTTCTCTTTGTATCTTTTTTTTTTTGGTGGAAATTTTATTCCAGTGAATATTTTAAAATAAAATGAAACAGAACATATAATGTTTTCAAAATATTGCAATACAAAAATATTTCACAATACTTCCGAGATTTTTATGCTGTATATTTTACTTAAATTCACGGTAAAAATGTGAGATCTAAGAACATTTCCTACTGGCATTAGTTAGCATCACAAGCTAACTTTAAAAAGCAATTTTTCTGACTAGCTTGGATTTTTTGTTTGTTCCAGCTGGTCTACTTTCTTACTGCTCCACTGGTCTACTTTCTTACTGCTCCACTGGTCTACTTTCTTACTGCTCCACTGGTCTACTTTCTTACTGCTCCACTGGTCTACTTTCTTACTGCTCCACTGGTCTACTTTCTTACTGCTCCACTGGTCTACTTTCTTACTGCTCCACTGGTCTACTTTCTTACTGCTCCACTGGTCTACTTTCTTACTGCTCCACTGGTCTACTTTCTTACTGCTCCACTGGTCTACTTTCTTACTGCTCCACTGGTCTACTTTCTTACTGCTCCACTGGTCTACTTTCTTACTGCTCCACTGGTCTACTTTCTTACTGCTCCACTGGTCTACTTTCTTACTGCTCCACTGGTCTACTTTCTTACTGCTCCACAGATCAAACTTGTGCAGACGTGAAGGAAAACGACAGGTTTGGGCGCATCAAAGCCTTTGTTTAAGTGGACGAAGAGAGGATCACTCTTAAACTTCAGAGGACGCTAACAAAAAAAAAATGGCTTTCACAACCATTGCAAAATGTATCTTCATGCTAATCAACGTAGTTTTTTTGGTAAGTAACTAGACTTTTTTTAAAATCTAAAAACATAGTTATAAGTGAACGACGGCATGGGGAAAAATATCAAATGTAACGCAAAGACCAAGGCTTGACCTCAGCTATTATTAATGATTGCTTCAATCTTATTTTTTTTTGGATCCGATAGTTTTTGTATCGTTAATTTACATGAAGTAATATGTTTTTTTTAATTCATCCATATTAACACAATTGTTCTTACTGTCTGCTCCAACAATTCGTTTTTACTTTAACATGGGTCGGTACGTAAGTAGTGGTTCTAACGTCTAATATTTAGGATATAATGCAGTCAGTAGCGATGGTCCTTTTTGTTGAAAAAAAATCCCTCGTCTGTGAAGTTCTGAATTTCTATGTGCAATGGATAACAGCTGGCGCAATATTGTGTCTCTGTGTCGCAAATGTTTGTTGGACGCGTCGTTTACCCCAACCCCTTCCCCGGGCCACAGAGATATGGTTTGTTATAGACAACAGTGTAGATGGCATGGCAAAAGGTTGGGCTATGAGCCAAACTGATGAGGTAATGAGCCAAGATGATGGGAGAATGAACCAACAGGATGGGGCAATGAGAGAACATGAGGGGCCTTTGTTCATACACGATGGGGCTATGAGCCCACATGATGTGGCTGGGAGCCAAAATAATCAGGTAATGAGCGAGCGTGATGGAGCTTTGAGCCAACATAATGAGCTATGAGCCAACATAATGGGCTACGAGCCAACCTAATGGGGCAATACGCCAACATGATGGCGATAGAAGCCAATTTGATGGGGCCATGAGCCAGCATGATGGGTCTGTGAGTAAACACGATCGGGCTCTGCCCCTACACAATGGCGGCTATGAGCCCACATGATGGGGCCGTGTACTAACATGATGAGGCAACAATTCAACAGGATGGGGTTATGAGGCCTACATAATGGTTTTTGTTTATTAGGAACACATTGGCCTAAAGAGTAGTTGTGCATGGCCATCTAAAATGCTCTAAGCATTCAACTACATTCTTAGATGATAACATGTAATATCGAGCAATGGTGGTTTGCCTGATAATCTAACTGAACATGGATACATATAACCCACTTTATATAAATCCCGATTAGTCCACCCCCCTCCATGGTTCGCAACCGCACATGTTTTTTTCACGCCCCTGAAACTATACTGATATTTTAATGTCCCATCCGCTTTTACACCGCAGATTTATTTCACCAACTAATTCACAAAAGCAAAAGAAAATATTTCGCACCAAAAGAGAATCTAATTTAGTGCAGTTATCGGGAATTATATTTCGTGAAATCAGAGTTATCATTTTACTTTCATGTTCCCCTTGAAAAACAGGAAAAACAGATTTTTTTAGAGGTTGGGGGTGGGGGCTGATAATTTATTAGAATGTGTTGTCATTGTCAACGAGTCTATGTGCCAAGTTTCAGCCCGATAGGTTGACGAGAAGTGGGTCAATTAGCCGTCCAGAGATTTCGCCCGCCAGATAGCCACGAACATACGCTAAGTTAATTTAAGTGATTTAAGTAATAAAACACGTTTACCCATTAAAGTTGCTTCATACATTATTATACTCAACGGATGGTGTTAATGACGTATTTATAAAGGCTGTCTGTTATATTCGAATACGAATGTTGTCCCCGTTTAAAAAGGAGATTACGTCGTTAGGCCTGGCAGATGGTGATTGATTATCCCTGTGGTAAACTTTAATTTATATTCCTTGTCGCTTGTGGGTAAATGAAATAGCCCCAAACAATGATAAGGCCCCTGCGTGTAAGTTCTTAAAACCCCTGGATAGTGTTCTGTTCTGGTAGTGTTCTGTTCTGGTTGTGTTCTGTTCTGGTTGTGTTCGTTGCTGCATCCATATACTGGCATCTGTGCAACGGTTGGGGGAATGATGTTGCTAGTCTAACAGCTCCTAGCAGATGCCAGGCCATCCTTGAAGCTTTCGACCGATGTCGAGTTCAGAGTGGCATTGTCCGGGTGGTTCCATGCTATTACTGTGCGTGGGAAGGAAGATTGTTTATACTGCACTGAGGCACTTTGAAGCATTTGCTATTGTTTCTGGTGTAATTGTTAATGGGATTGTCAGTGGTGAAATCAGTGTTCAGTGAGCGTTTTGCTCTGATCAAGTCTACCCGGCTTCTGTGGGGTGAGGTACGTGCCTGCTGTGATGGCCGGCACCAGTCCCATAGTCACTTTATATAAGAATATCAGGCGGAGTCCCTCTCGTCTGTCTTTAAGGGAGGATGTCAAATCTTTTTAAGAGGCCAGTGACGAAGCCAGGAGTGGTGGAGTTGTAGTCTCAAGCGATAAAACGCACCGCGTTACGTTGAATTCGCTCCATCTTGTCCACGTCTTGCTTAAGGTGTGGGTCCCAGATGATCGCACCATATTCTAGTAGTGGATGGACGAGTGAGTGATATGCATTTCATTTGCAGGAAGTTGGGCCGTGGCGCAGATTTCTTCGGATGAAACCAAGGGTGGAGTTGGCTTTTTTAAAATTTTTGTTTATATGGGGTGACCATTTAAGGTTATTTGATGCTTGTTGGAGAATTGTCTCGTTTAGTGAGTACATATAGGTTGATGTTTTTTTTCTTGAGATTGTCATTGTGTAGCATTTGGTTTCATAAAATTTCATAAAATTTAGAAAGGGGTCCAGCACTGTGCCTTGTGGAATTCCTGAGTCTACGATGGCTTTCTCTGATCGGACACTGTGTACCACTACTTGCATGGTACGGTGTGTTATAAATTTTGAGAGCCAGGAGAGAAGATTGCCGGTAATGCCGTAGTGGTGGAGCTTATGTAGAAGAAGGCTGTGTGGAACAGTGTCGAAGGCTTTGGAGAAGTCGAGAATTGCCATGTCGACCTGGGTGCCTTTGTCATAGGAGGCAAGGAGGTCATTGGTGGTGATGATTAATTGAGTTTCTGTTGAGAATCCAGAGCGGAAACCGTCATTTAGGTTGGTCCAAATGTTGTAGTGTTCAAGGTGGTTCATGATGTGGCGACAGATGATGTGTTCCAGGATTTTGCATGGAACGGAGGTCAAGGATATTGGGCGGTAATTTGCTGGGTTATGATGGTTACCTTTCTTGTAGGCACTAGTGATGTTTGCATCAAGCCAGTCTAGTGGGAGTTTGACGGAGTCAAGTGACTTTTGGAAAATGTGGGTCATGGTTGGGGCAATGTTGTCAGCCAGGGTCTTCAGGGCAATGTTCGGGATAAAGTCAGGTCCGGGCGCTTAATTGGGCTTCAGGTTTTAGAGAAGTTTGGCTACTCCTGTTTAAGTTATGTTGAGGGGGCCTATTGTACCAGGTGGAGGTTTCAGGGATGGAATGACTGTTGGTGGAGATTTTGGTGAAGACAGATTGAAACTGTTTTAGGAGAATTTCTGCTTTGCATTGGCCATCTCTTAAAAGTTGTCCGTTTTCTAGTAGGGGGGCTACGCCGATGTTGTCTTGCTTCCTGGATTTAATGTAGCGCCAGAAGGGTTTTGTGTTGTTGTTTTCGAGGCCTTCTTGAATGACTCCGTTTTTGTGCTGCTAATCTCCTCTTCTTAGTTCCCTACGACAATGTTTCTGGAACTGGCGGTACAGGGTCCAGTTGTTGGTAGTTTGGGCTTTCTTCAATAGTCTTTCTTTCTCTTCAGCAGCTTCTTGTGTCGGAAAAGACACTAAAAATTTCTGTTGCAAAAACGCTATACTTCAAAGAATTCCAGAGAATCTTAACAAAGACGAGGCAGGAAAATTATCAAGCATTCACAAACCCACAGAGGGCAAAATGACAATATATTCAATTATCGAGTTTCTTAAATCTATATATCTAGTGATATATATATATATATAGACCTAAAGAAATCCATGCCGATATGTGACCAGCGATATAGTGGTCTTTATGCCTATTTTTATGCTTGTAGATATTTCCAGTGATAATCATATCAAACTTGATGTCGACGTAATTCTTCAGGTCTTTGAAACAAGCAATTTTTACCCGTGATATTCCCCAATTAAAGAGTCAAAACTATTTTTCAACGGTTTAAACGGTTTTTTAAATAAAAAATTATCAATTTTTCAACGTTCTCAATCTTGTTGGTATCTCTTCTCCCATAGACAAAGTCTTGATTGATCAAATAGCTCCTTGATTTTCCTATCATTTGCTTACCACTTGCAAAATTTTCGAGTGAATTCTTTGCTGAAAAAAATATTCAGTTCCTCGTTGGGACATACGTCTCTGTATTTTTAAAAATTAAAACATTATTTTGAAATTAATCGACTTCAATTTATGAATTAATAAAAATACATCTTTCTATTTTCAGATCATAAGTATGGTTTTCATAGCGGTGGGATCGATACTGGCTTTCATACCAGATACCGTATTTGAATTCGTGTACACGACCGCAAAGAAAGCTGCCGGTAAACATATTTTTAATTTCAGTTTTAAATCTTTTTCCCGTTAAAGTCCACTGCTGGTAAATTTGAATTCACTTACACATGCAGTGGCGTCACTAAGGGGTAGGGCTAGGCTGTGGACCGCACCAAAGGATGCACTCGGTTTTTTTGTTTGTTTGCCTACAATTATTTATTACGATTTGCATGTCTGTGGATGCAAGCGAGATTAGCTTTTCAAAGCTGAAACAAATAAACAAATACTTATCGATCTACAGTGGAACAGTCAGGCTTTCTTGTCTTGTGTTATGGTCAAATGAAAGTGATAAAGGCAGGAATGTTGATTTTGATTGACATGCTTGCATCTTGGAGACCAATGAGACGTTTTAACAGTCAAGTGTAATGCTTCAATAGAAGTAATTCGGTTGCATTTTTTTAAAGACTGCTACCACAAATTATGTTGTCTTCTAATGCATTTTAATGCCGCAGGACTTAAATTACGAAAAAAACAACAACAAAATACAAAAATAAATAAATTAAAAAAAAAAAAAAAAAAAAAAAAAAAAAAAAAAAAAAAACAAAAAAAAAAAAAAAAAAAAAAAAAAAAAAAAAAAAAAAAAAAAAAAAAAAAGAAACAAAACAAAAACACCATTAACGTTAGGAGTGACACCCCGAGCTAACGCACTGGGTGACACCAAACACTAGCGATGCCGCTGCACACATGGTAGGTTTTTTACTAGCATTTAATTCTCCTTTTCCAGAGGCAGGTAATTACCACTTCCCGTCCTCTGCCGATGCCTTGAAGGACTTGCCCCTGCTCTTCGAGATAGGGATCGCTCTGTTCGTACTGGGGGTTGTTCTCTTCATCATCAGCTTTCTGGGATGCTGTGGGTGCTGCTGCAGTTGTTGCAAATTCATGTTGATTTTAGTAAGTGGCTGTAGTGGTGAATGGTCATACAGACTGTCGGACATATGCTAAGCCGCAACAATTGACATACAGACTTAAAGGAAAACGGACAAGGTTCCTTACAGGGCAGGGGTTCTTAATCTGTGGTCCACGGGTACATCGGGGTCCATGAAAAGGTCTCACGGGGCCCGTGAGCCACAGCGACTTTCCAATTTTATGATTTGCATTTATAATAAAGAATCCATAGCCTTCAAATGTCGGACATAGGAGTCCATTAAATTTTATTGCTATATATTATATTACCTTATTTTTTGCGACGTTAGATAACATATATTTCACGCACAATCTAAGATGGAAGTCCCGTACCTGTTACAGTGAAGGGGTAATGGGTAACATTACACGATACTTACAGAGAAACCAACACTGATAGACTAATAGAGTAATAGACTGACAGATAGATATACATGGTAAATCTATAGATTTAAAGTCAGACATTACGTGTATATATTTTACTGTTAGTCTAATACATTTCATACACTTATTTAAATATCGTCTTGGACAGTATGAGGATTAAATAGATACAATCAATGATTGAATGTTGCTTGTATTTTCAGTTTGCAATCGTCATGGCGGTACTTATGATTGTTGAGATTGTGGTTGTCACCATGTTCTATGTCCCGGATTCTCCAGTGAGTAATTTATTCAAACTGGATTCAATAATCTAGTGGAACTCCGCTATTACGCGAAATTGGGGGTCCGAAATACGGATCGCGCTATTAGCGGGGTAGCTGAAATTTATTTTTAAAAAAAACATTTGAATGCGCCCTTACCCGAGTAGTAAAAACTGAGGCAATCACAAATCCCATGCATGTGGACTAGCTAGACTAGACCAACAAAAACTCCCCGTTGGATGCGACGCGTTAACCCTGGAAGGCAACTCATCGAAGAATCTAAGAAAATGTAACTCTGAATTTGAAACCGGAGGTGATGATGCCCCGTAGGTGGTATGAAATTGACATTCCCGAGGGGCCGCTGGTGCCAAGTCGTGCCGCCCACACATGATGTTCCCTTGGGTTATCCAGGTGTGCGGAGAGGCGATTTGCTGTCTATGGAAAAACTTATTTTCCTAAAAATATCTCAGGCCTTGTTATTTCGCCCCGCGAAGTCTACACCATCATCACATAATTTTGAAGGACAGATGCTATAATCTCCGTCGCTACTGATGCTTCATAATGTTCCCAAGATGCCTAGCGATGTACACGTATGATGTAGCCTTACAGAAACCTAAATTTTGCCTGAAAAGTGATAGAAAGTTGACGTATAATGAAACTGCAATGATGACGATAAATTTTTAACTAATTTTTTTTCTTACGTTCTTGGAATTTATTTTGAATCCCTTACATTAACTTTGCTCTTGTTCGCGGGTGGCTTGCAAACTTCAGACGGCTTATTATTGACCCACGTCCCGTTAAACTATCGAGCTGCAACCGAGCACACTGACTCGTTGCCGATGACAATTCACTCTATTAAATTTTTGTCAAATTGCTTTTTGTCAAAGCCCCCCCACCTCCCATTGCTCAATATTATATTTAATAAAGGTTTTATACGAAAACAATTGTTTTTATGGGTTGTTTAATTTTAATTGTTCAAGTACGATGAAAATAAGAAATTTCTGGAGCCATCCCATGAGCGCTTAATATCCGAATTCGTGGTATAACTGGCCACGTTAAAGCGAGGTTCCACTTTGTAAGTTCATGCCTGGGTTAAATGAGTAGAAACGAGAGGGACATGAAAAGGCAGAGAACGTTTTTTTTAACTTAAATAAAAGGTATGTAGACAAAATGAAGTTACAAAAGCAATGTTGTGTATAGATGCAATTGGGGCGTTGTAAGATCAATACAAACATAATAAAAAAAAAGTGATAACACAAATATAAATGAATTAATTTTATTTTAAATGATAAACATAGCAGAATAAATTTTAACTGTTTTCGTGGAGTGTGTTGACGATATTGGCGTCTGACTGCGGTTGGCGCTCGCAGGTGTCCAGGAAGCAACATACGATATACGTATATTTGACAAGGACTATCTGGTTAAATGGTGCTTTAAGAGATTTAAACTGATTTTTTTTTACTATCTTTGTAAATGATTGCACAAAGCTATTTATAGTTATAGTTGATAGTGATTATGAAGCATGTTTAAAAATTAAAAGAACAATCTATAAAAAAAGTTAATTGATCCTTAATAAAGGCATATTTTAAATTTAAAATTCACATTTTTCCTACTTTCATTTTTTTAAGCTTCACGAGAATCTACGGAAAAGTCTAAAAGACAAAGTACGGAATTATGACAAAAGCAAAGACACTACGGATTCCTTCAGTGTGGCAATAAACATGGTCAACTACTTCGTGAGCATTGCAATCTTAGACAATTATTGCTTTGTATCAAAGTGCTGTTTTCGTTTAGAAATTTGCTCGAATTTTCAAGACCAGTAGACCTCAAGCTCTCGACATATCTTTTTCATTCACAACATACAACCACTCATTTTAAAACACCAATAAAGCTTTCAATTGATTGACAGAAACATCCTTGGGACCTGTTGTATATTTTGGGAATTTAGCATAAATTAGTACGCTGAGGAAACTATCGTTATTCGTGTATAGTTAAGCCTAGTCCACTATTGTGAACTGATTTAATTTGTCAAACCAACCACGCTGCATCTATCACTTAATAATCTCAGAAACCTCAAGACATCTACGTAATAGCTTGAGATACTGTGACAGGCAACACCAAAAAAAAAATATTAGACACGCATTGCCCTCGATACTGATAATTCTAAATTCGCCTATGTACAAACTGACTTGTACAAACTAAAATTTTCTTTTAATGTTATTACAAGGAGATAATTAATATATATCAGTTTTATAAACTACTATGTTTTATTTTTCAGTTTAAGTGCTGTGGTATAGATGGACTTAGTGACTTTTCAGGTATAAATCCAGAGTCATGTATAAAGTCTAAAACGGTGAGCTTTTATTAAAAAAATTAAAAGTTAACCTATATTTTTCCCCATCATAATACACCTCTTCTCAAAAAACGTATTGAATAAATATTAAAATTTGCATAGAGCAAAATAAAATCTAAAAACAACTGGATTCGTCCCACAGAAAAAACAGCAACAACCATCAAAATAATATTTCTTGCTCTTGAAAATTTGATACGTTTACTTTAAAATTTCAACCCTATTTCTTAGCAATTTATAGATAACTTTTTTTCCTTACAATCAAATATTTATTTTGTGAACTGGTGCTTTAAAAACTTTGACATAGTAATCGTCTTTATTATTTGTTGGGCTCGAAGTTAAATAATTAGCCATGAAATAACCCTTTTGTGTGTATTTATTTAGCCTGCCATAGCGTATTATTCTGGAGGCTGCTACACCGAGCTGACGGACGTGATCCAAGACAACATCCTGTATGCTGGACTAGCGTTTGCTGGACTGCTCCTGTTTCAGGTAACCTGACTTACACGTAGGACGGTTGTAGGTTTGGTGGAAATTGTGCTGGGGTATTTGGGAGAATTATCGTGATTATCGTTAAGAAATCGTGAGATCACCTCCTTTGATACCAAGCCAGCAGATTCTAGAAAAAACTTAGATTGGGCCTTAATAATTAATTAATAAAAAAAATAAATAAATTACGTTTATTTACAAATATTTATTTTTTCACGAGAGTTCTATTCATCTGAATTCCCCGCATTTGTGCACGCCTCTCTTTCTACTTGTTCGCGTCTCAATCCAAATCTCTTCGTCACATCTGGACCAATATTTCTTTTTAAATTATGTGGATATAATTTTTGTTACATGAAGAAGTCAAATTCAATCTAATTAAAGATAATTAAAAAAAAAAAATTTCATATCGTGAAAAGTGAACGAGAAAAATACATTTTTATTAGATGTTACCCTTTATTATATTTTGTTACCCCACCCCCACCCCACCACCAAAAAACAAAAACAAAAACAAAACAAAACAAACAAAAACGTAACCAACATAAAGCATAAACCTAGAAATAAAATAAATCTAGGAAAGCTATTGTCATTGTGTTGTTGTTATTTTCGTGGTTGCTCATTTCGTTGTTGTTACATGTTTGTCAAGTTGATGGTCAGTTCACCCTATATAATTTTATGTATAGAATAAAAATGAATTGCACTTATTGTAAAAAGAGACACATTCTATTACTCAAAATTGCAGCGAAGACTCGGAAAATGGGTGAAAGTTATTTTGGCGGTTTGGAAGGGGAGGGAGGTTAAAGGGGGGGGGGGTTAAGGGTAGGGCGCTGGCTGGTCAGAGGGGACAGGTCTAGATTTAGTTTTGTAATTACCTGTTGAAGAAGATATTGGTTCAAAACAAAGGTCTGTCCTTTTGAAAAAAAGAAGAAATGTTTAAAAAATAAAATATTATTCAAGCACTTAACACACACATTACAACCACAACATTTTGAAATCACAAATCTTACCTAACTTGTTATAGCACAGTTTCTTTCAATGTTTACCTCTAAGCTATATCTTGTTATTAATTTTTTTAAAAGATAATTTTGCTCACTTTCTCAACAGCTCATCCAAATTATTTTCGCCGTCGTCATCTTCAAGAAATCCAACAAAGTGTCCCCATTTTAAGGACTGGATCCGCCTCTGGGCTTAATGACACCATCGTGTTTTGTCAGTTGTTGTCATTGGCTTCAATTGAGACGAGAAGTTGATTAACAAACTGTTTATAAATAAATACGAAATGGCTATTCGTACCCGGGTACAAGAAGTGAGAGGTTGGGTTTAAAAAACTATTTAAAATTTTATTTTTGGGTTTGTAAGACTAGTAAGACCAAATGAGGTTTCAAATGAAAGATAATTGAATGGACTATATGTTTGTAAACTTACTTCTTCTTTTTAACTAAAATAAACTACCACAAATGACATCCGAATGCCTGAGACTAATGGTACCCGGGTGCGAATGGCGGCGCTGCGTGTCTGGGTCCATTTTGACTCGGTGTTATTCGGATGTCATTTGTGGTAGTTTATTTTATTTAAACTGGAGAATTAAGTTTACAAACATATAGTTCATTCAATTATCTTTCATTTGATATCTCATTTTGTCTTACAAATCCAACAATAAAATTTTAAATCTTTTTTTAATCCCAACCTCACACTTCTAGTACCCGGGTACTAATAGTTGCAGCCAAATAAATATTTGATAATGAATGTAACTAATATAGATATATTAACATTTTTTAATTGCGATTTCTGTAAACGAGATTTTAAATCAGTTTAGGAAGTGGTATTGTTTGCTCGACTTGACTAGTTTTTTTTTTCTTCTAAATTTCCTATTTAAAAAAATAATCATATCTTACAAAAAGAAAATTTACAGTTTAAAAATAAAATAAAATCGGTAGCACTTATTCTACGAAAACATTAAGGGAAACGAGGAGGGCTGCTGTTGGAATTATTTTATGGACAAGCAAAGCAGAATTAGATAGATTTTAATTGATGACGTGCCCTCATTTGAAATTAAGAAGAAGAAACGCTATAAAACTTTAGAGAACAATTGTAAACATGATAACGTAAATAAATAGGGGAGGAAAGTGAACGTTTCCCCGGAATCTTTCACGGTTTCATAGTTCCTTAAATAATTTTTGTGGTATGACTTCAAAAAAACAAAAAAAACAAAAAAACAAGATCATGTAAACGGTGTAGCTCTATCTTCAGCATCCAACCCCTTTTGTCATAATTCTCGAACTTTAATGTAATCTTGCTACAGCCCATTTTTTTATTTTTTTATTTTTTATTTTATATTTTTTTGTTCACTGCATCAAACTCGTTGATTACCTGTTCATTTCAACAACCCCCACACTCATTTCAAAATAGAGAAGATGTGCTTACCACACGCAACCCACACCCCCCCCCCCAAAAAAAAAAAATATTGTCTCTAGTGTAAAATACTCCATCGCTTGAGAGAGCACACATAAATGACTGATTAAGTGTGTCAGATTGTGGTTAAAAATTAATATAGTATAACGAATTTACCCCCACCCTTTTTTTCCTCGATTTTATAATCTTTGTCAAAATAATTATTTATAATTGAACATAGTTTTAAAAATATTATACCTACAGGAATGTATTGAATTGTTTAGATCAGGAGAAAGTAATTTAGACGTTAGAGCTGTGAGTTATTTGCATATATTGTTGAAGCATTAAAACATATAACATTCATTGAATTCTATTTCAATTTAAGCCGCAAAGATTACTTGAAAAATGTCTCATTCAAATTGAATGTGCAGAGTGCACAGCTTTGAATGTGCGAAGTATACAGCTCTCCGTTCTGATAATAATTCCAATCAGAATCAGATGATATGCAGCAAAAAATATTTCATATTCTTTGAGTATTTTCTTTTTTTTCTTAAAATGCGAAATCTGTATCCTTTATTGAATGATTTTTATTATCAAATGTGATAGAGTTGCCATCTGTGATATAATATACCATTGAAATTTGAGCCAGTTTCTTTTCCTCATTATGTGATATTTTAAGAAAATGGCTTACAGATGAAATAAAATGTAATATCATGATGACAAGTGTGATGTGTTTGGTTTCAGCTCTGATTGAATTAGCACATTTGTGAAATATTGAATGCAAAATTTTAGATCATGCGGTCTTTACTAACTTTGTCACACAATCTTTACTAATTCTGTCACACAATCATTACTAATTCTGTCGCATAATCTTTACTAATTCTGTCACACAATCTTTACTAATTCTGTCCCATAATCTTTACTAATTCTGTCACAAATTTTTTACTAATTCTGTCCCATAATCTTTACTGATTCTGTCACATAATCTTTACTAATTCTGTCACATAATCTTTACCAATTCTGTCCCATAATCTTTACTAATTCTGTCCATAATCTTTACTAATTCTGTCACACAATCTTTACTAATTCTTTCCCCTAATCTTTACTAATTTTATCACATAATCTTTACTAATTCTGTCCCACACTCTTTACTAATTCTGTCCCATAATCTTTACTAATTCTGTCACATAATCTTTACTAATTCTGTCACACAATCTTTACTAATTCTGTCCCATAATCTTTACTAATTCTGTCCCATAATCTTTACTAATTTTGTCACATAATCTTTACAAATTCTGTCACACAATCTTTACAAATTCTGTCACACAATCTTTACAAATTCTGTCACACAATCTTTACTAATTCTGTCACACAATCTTCAATAATTCCTCCACACAATCTCTGCTAATCGTGTCACACAATAACTTTCTTGATGTCACCTACTAGGGTGAGGTCAACGTAATTAAAGCGATAACAGCAACAACAAAACAATATGTTAAGACATTGTTTGTTTCAGTTGTTAATTTTACAGTGGGGCCTTCAGCTCGAACCACTGGGAGTCCGACCAAAAAACTTGGAGCCAATTTCCGCTCGGAATCTGAATGCTGCATTCTTTGGAATCCGAAAGTTCTCCGAGAGTTTTTTTATTATTAATATTTATAAGTTTACAAATTAAAGATGGATTGGATGAATTGAAAGTAAAGAAATTATACAGATTAAACTTTAGTTTTGAAACTATGTTATTTGGGTCTATTTTAATTCGCCTAACTCAACGTACTGGAATCGAGTTTAGAAAAAAACCAAACAAAAAAAAAAACAACAAACAACACAACACAACAACAAAAAACGCATGATTTTGAAACGAACAACAGGCAACAGTCTCTTGTTTCGGATGCACCCGTAGTCAGGGCCGTCATTTCAGTTTTTTTTTCAAGGGGTGTGGGGGTGGGGGGCAAACACCTCAACTTGGCCGGCTTTTTGAGTTGTTTATTATTGGAGTCGCCGCAGTACATAATAATTTAAATAAAACTTAAAAATTCAGGGGAGCGGGGCTGCATACCCCCTGCTTTACCCAACATAACGTCCCTACCCGTGGTCCCTCATATTATAATGAACGCGTACTGCTTTTCAATTGAAATGGCATTATTATCACGTTAGCAGCAGGTGTAGCTATTTACATTACGATCACAGTACTATTGGGCAGCATTGTATGCAGTGAAGCATTCTTCGGAAATTTACGAAATTACTACCGCTCTTGATGTCCTCCTGTAAGGAGAATAATGAGACGGAATTAAAACAAGTGAAGTCTGATATGTTTCAGCGATATAACTTGCTTACTTGTAAAGCCTATTCAATCTGTGTTTGGTTTAGAGGCGATCAATTCCAATACCAGACTGTGGTACTGAAGTTCTGTAGGCTTCCAATTACTTCACAGTAGAATAAGTTAATACCTTGTTTATTTACGCCAAAAAGTGCATCGTTTTTTTTAACATTGAAAAGTCGTTTGTTTGCTTTTTATATTTAGAACTGGCCGCATTCACGAGTTGTTGGTGCGCGCTAAGTTTATTATTGTTTTAATTTTATTTCTCATTTTCTATTTTAATTCGCTTTCAACCACCCCCCTCCCCCAACACCCATTTTTTTTGAAGCCTGTGATCTCTTACATGTCATTGTATTTTTATTCGAGAGTTCATGGTTTTTAAACACGACGTTTAATGTTTAAACACCATTTTGGTTATGGGGGCGTCTTATCTGTTGCACTGGAGATTGTCAGTAGAGAATAAAAGACGGTTCTCAATGTTCGACACTCGGTTAACGCAAAGATTTGTTTCCGTACACAAGCCATTGAATCTCAACCTGTGGTCTTTAGCAACCCCCTCGTATCCCACAACCTGCTAACTGAAGTAATATACAAAATATATTTAATAAAAAAAAATAAATTTAGGGAAAAAATAATTAAAATGTTTATGTCAAGTAGCAACCCATGCGCGTTCTTAATTTCTCCATGGCTCTATGGGTCTGCTGCGTTATAAATTTGTAACAAGTTCTAACAAGGAAATCAGATCATCAGGTGTCTCTCAGAGACGTCAATAACTTCACGTGATATTCAGCACATCCTCAAGTAGAAATGTATCTGAAGGGAATATGAGAAGGACCTCAGATACGGAAGCACTCCTCATTCAAAATCACGAATCACACTCTACCTCAGCTCTACCCCACCTCGTTTCAGGTAGGTAACTCCGACATACAGTTTACATCCTCTGCTAGGAATCTTGGTTATATTCTGTCTGACAACATGTCTCTCGACAATCATATCTCTCACATTTGTCGCTCTGCGTGAACCGCTATCCGTCAGGTCAGCTCCATCCGCCACTACCTCACAGTTAGTTCAACAAAAATACTAGTCTGTGCTCGTGTCCTCTCTCGTCTTGACTATTGTAACTCTCTTCTGTCATGTTCACTAAAAAAACTTATAAGAAAAAATCCAAAAGTTAAAAAAAAACAACAACTCAGCTGCTAGTTTAGTTCTGAAGGCAAGGTTATCATGTCTCTCCACTACTTCACTCACTTCATTGGCTCCATTTACAAGCACGCATTGAGCACAAATCGTCTGTTCTCTGTCACAACTGTTTCTCTGATTCCTGCCCATTCGACAACTTGGCTACTCCGCAGACACGCGTATTCTTTCTGTTACCCAGACACGCACTAAAACATACAATGAACAATCTTTCTCTTTCTGCGCCTCCCAAAATAAATGGAATACTCTCGCACTGCAGATCTCGCAATGTGATGACCGTCAACGCCTTCAAGACTGCGCTCAAGACACATCTCTTCAAACTGACCCCCCTCTCCCCCCTCCGACCGATAAACGATGCTGCTTGGTGCCGTCCATTACTTGACATGTAAATATTTGTTTTTAATAAAGCTGTTTTCCAATGAAATAAATGTATGCACCCTTTTTTAATGTTATTTTTATTTTTGTTAATATTTTTATATGAAGTGCGGTGAGCCCAGCCCTAGGCTGGGGTAACGCGCTGTAAAAGACCACTGTAACAATTATAACAGTAATACTGGCAGAGTTCATGAGGAGGACCTCACTTTCTGGAAGAGATGTAAAAGCTGAAGCCCATACGCTAAAGGACACACAGTTGAACTGCTCTCGGGGAAGTTGTTGGCGCAGCAACGTTGGATCTTTGAGTATTGTTCGTTGTAGCATTCGCCTGTTTTTTTGTTTTTTTTACATTTCAAATAAAGACATGTTTAAATTGTTTGAAGATTGCCCCAAGGTAAACGTTTTCGATAAATCACGACGACGTCAGATTCAGGTAGAACGACGACCGAGATAGGGGCCGTACAAACAGAAGTGTCCCAAATATTGATACGAGATAAGGACCGTGAATTTAAATCTATAAATAGAACGATCAGAAAAGTGGAGGGCCATCGAGATTTTTATGGTAGGTATACAACGACATTACAACAGATAGGAAACAATAAATAATTGACCGCAACTTTGCGACAACGACAAATGGCGCCAATTAATAAAACCTAAGCGCGTATAGCACTTATCAGATATTGCGTCGTAAGCTTATTGACATTATTCGTTCGCCTGCATCACGTCCCACGTAGTTATAAATAGAAATATTGCAGGGCACCACAAGAGGAGGGAGAAGAAGAGGAAGACAAAGAAAAAGGTGGGAGGATAACATCAAAGAGTGGACAGGACTAGCACTGGGCGATCCAGTGCGTAGTGCTGAAGACAGAGAGGAATGGAGGAGGATGGTTCACATGTCATCTGTGGCGCCCCACCGGGCCAAGGATTAAGGGACATGAGGAGGAGGAGAAAGAAACCTTAATTCCAATGTTATGGAATATCCCGAAATGGAACTTGAAAGCTGGAGTGATTCATGTCACATATGCTACTATTACACATCAGAGAAAACAAGGTTTTTATGTTTATAATAGCATGTCAGTGGTAGAGGAGGACTGGCTTTGGCAGATTGGACAAGGATAAAACCGCACGATTTTTTAAAATGATATTGCACTGCGAATTCTCTCATTAACAAAGCAACACTTTTTTAATGGAATAATTTTAATGGGCTCGTTAGGGATGTACTTCGTCTTTGGAAATCGATTGTGACCACCTTATTCATCGTATATGCTATTTGTGGACTTTGCTGTGGGTGTCGCAGATGGCTGATGCGATAGATTCTGGTTCGTAATGTTCTAGTGCAGTAGGTGCAAGAGATTGATGGGACATCTCCAGGTGTAGGGTTAACCTCGGGCCTTTCTGGCAATTTCTTTTTTTGCACTGCAGCTGTTAGTGATAAATAGACACGGGTCTGATTTTATGGTCTGAAAAGGGGGAGTTTTCAACAAACAATGTCCTTTAGTGAGGCTTGTCAGAGAATTAATGTTCTGAATTGAATGAAATAACCTTTAAACCCAGGGAAGGGAAATAGTAAAAGGTGTACCCGTATTTTGAAGGAAAAGGCAGTGGCGTAGGAAGGGTCGGTCGGAGGGGGTGGTTAGTTCCTGTCGGCACTTTTTTCTGATATTCGGCCATAAGCAGAATGTGTTTCATAGGTGGGGGTGTCAAAAACAAAAACAACAAAAAAAAAAAACAAAAAAAAACAAAAAAAACTTGGCATGCCGTGGGCGGAAGTAACCCTGACAAGGCCACTGGCAGAAGGTGTCAAAAAAATAAATGCTCTGACATTTTCGAAAATTCGTTTTTAATTTTTTTTTTTTTCAAATTCGGAATGGTAAAATATTCATTTAATTTTAAATAACTTTGCAGCTGTCATTCTTGACACATTTTTGCTGTAGGGGAATGAACAATTGTGTTCAACTATCAATTATAGAATGGTATAAAATAACAGCCAAAACGGATACACAATTTAATTTAGTATTTCTAATACACAAGGACTCATGAGACAAGGGGGTTCATCTCTTATTAACATGTCCAATGCACCATTTCTCGATCAATTCTGATTTCACCTACCCAAGGTATTTTTTTTTCTTGCGTCGCAGAAGGCAATATCAGCCGGCAGCAAACCAATCATGAATCACCTGAGGTACCCCCGTTGAACGTGACTTAAAAAGACACGTTTTAATACCTAGAAGAGGGTTACACACTGGAGAATTGTATTTGTTATTTTGAAAGCGGAAATGAAAAGATCGATAGGTACTTATTAACATGTTTCAATTAAAAAAAAAACAACATCCGAGATATTAAAATAATAAACAGGAGCCTAATAGCGAAATAAAAAAAAAAAAAAAACGAATTTTGTTATACCCGTTGCCGCATTGACTATATGAAAAATTTTTTGGGTTCAAAATCGGAACAAATATATTTGGCTAAGTAAAAAAAAAAACAACAACCGAAAAATTAAAAAAATAAACAGGAGCCTAATAGCGAAATAAAAAAAAAAAAAAAACGAATTTTGTTATACCCGTTGCCGCATTGACTATATGAAAAATTTTTTGGGTTCAAAATCGGAACAAATATATTTGGCTAAGTTACAAGACAGAGTCTTTCAAGTAACACTTTTTAAAGGGCTGTTCAATTCACGGACAGTCTCATTTACAACAAACGGTATTACAAACGTACAAACGTACACAAACATTTAATTCACATCAACAGGTAACGCGAACTTAGTCAAACCATTAAAAAAAACAAATTAATTAAATTACATTTTTATGACGTCATGTACTTGACGGTGTTGGCGAATGAGATTGCCGTGTAGGCCGAGGAATTTAAAAAGAGCTATCTTTATTTCATTATTATAACATCTGTTTCGCCTTGTTGTTATAGTAGAGATAATATTATCAAGGGAATAGAAAAATTGTTCAATAGAATTCACCTCCCCCCCCCATTTCATAGACAGCCCGGTGACAGAGCTTCCTCAAACTATCGGTCGCGCCCCCCCTCCCCTCACCCACACCTTGACCCCCAAACCAGTCCCATGTCTTCAAAACGCCTAGTTAATCCCGTTACCCAGCGATCCTTGGTATTACTTTGTCGTACGAGTCGCCTGTAAAATGCGTGGATTGGTATCCAGGAGTCTTTGATACCTGAACGATTTCGGAGCAGTTCTCGCCGCTCGGACACATGTATGCATATCTTTATTGGTTATGTTGAATCTGAAGATTTTATCTAATTCTTGGAAGTTGGGGTAAATTTTTACTTATTGCATCGACCAGCCAACGTCAGAGGTCGTATAATTGATATCTGGATTTACTATGAATTATTTAGAAATAATATATATATAAATTATATTACATCTTTTTTGCCAAGAAAATATTTCAAATTGCTTCAGACGATTCTTCTGGGGCATATTTACACACCTTCATCTTTAAATCATGCGTACTAAAACACGCTCGCCTTGATGGTATTTGTTTGCAAAGTATTTTTTTTTTAAATGCCTATTTCCTGACAAGATCGTATTCCTTTAAAAAAAAAAGTCAGGTCTACAGTCTTAATCACCCGAAGGTTAAACTTGTGCACACCTGAAGCAAAATCATAGGTGAGGACAAACCCTATCCTTTAAGTGGACTGAAAAAAAGGGATTGGACCAAAACTTCAGCGAACGATCCTCAAAAATGTGTTGTTCAACAATAGCGAAATGCATCTTCATGGTTATCAACGTGCTTGTATTGGTAAGAACCTAATTATTGAAGCTTACAAATCCATTCTTATTTAAACGCCAACGACTATTTGTGAACACATCTGATCTTCAAAGACTTAGTTATTTGATTCAGTCACGGTCGAGCTTTGCTTCAAACGTAATTCGCCTTCGAGAGTTTTCCCAGTCTTTAATTACAAATTTCACATATAATCTCTTATATAATATATTTTGCTTGTGGTGTGCCTGCTTCAATTTCCGGATAGCGCGCGAAATATAATTCACGATAACAACGCAAATTGATTTTTAAAAAAAATAACGGAACTGCGTTTGGTGCGTAACATTTTCTTTTTCTGTTCAGAAAATGTAGTAGTCTCAATTTAAATAAGGTGTAATAAATATTCGGCTTAAAAGTGGTTGGGAATCAGAATATTTTTTTCATGGGGGTGAAATAAAATGTGAGCAGTAACATTTCATTTGGGAGGGGGGGAGGGGTGTAGCGAAAATTGGGATTCTCAAAAGTGCGTTACTTGAGTTCATATCTTGTCAAGTAATTTTAGTAGATCGGAAGTTCACCCCATTGCAGTCGCCAATGTTTGGCGGCGCGATAACTAGCTATTTATTATTTTGCCAACGCGTCATTGTAATAAGTTTTTGGTATTTACATTTATTTAGGCATTTTTATATAGCGCTTACCTTAAAGTTCTAAGCGCTTTACAATTATTAAAAACATGTAAACTAAGTAAAATAAAAATGAGACACTAGGATAGTAACTACTATACTATAGAAACAATGAAAATGGCTATAAAACGAGGACACTTTGGCACGTGTTGGCCTATACTACAGGATCAACCCGAGACAGAAAATGAGGCAGGGCAAGGAGGGTGCATCACAGGTCATAGGCGGATCTAACAGATGGGTTTTAAGGGACATTTCACTATTTGCCTATGAGATTATGGAGGTTTGGCAAAGAACAATAGTTTTTAAGGAGACGATTTTATAAGTCAGGTGAAGGTGGATGAAAGAAATCCCAAGAAGTCAATTTTCTGGACGCTTCGTTACACTTTAAGCTATACAGATAATATAAATATAAATATATATATATTTAAATTAAAAAAGTGCTGATCTTGGAGTTGGACTTAGCACAGAGCAGTCACGTGGATCCCACAATTCCAGCAGCTGCAGAATACTTTGGATAATTTAAGGGGGCCTAAATATAATGATTTTGTAAAAACTAATAATAACTACACCATCAACTACAAAAAAAAAAGAAAAAAAAAAAAACAACAAAAAAAAAAATAAAAAACAAAAAAAAGAAAAAGACACAAAACATCACGTGATGGCTCTGACTAAAAAAAAAAGGGGGGGGGGTAATTCAAAATTGAAAATTTAGTAACGTAAATAAAAGACTAGCTGTTATGGATGGCAAATCATAAAAACGTTATTTAAAATGGAACTGTTTTTATGTACACAGCCAGGCTATATGCTGTGTTTGTCCACTGTTAGCGTGTACAGAGACAGACTATATGTTGCTTTTGTCTACCTCGCGCTTTACCAGGCTAATGGTTACCTTCCACCGATGTGATTTAAACACCATGACACTTCCACGCTGGTTTCTGTCTTCCAAAGGAAGCATTCGTTTTATTTAGCATTGTTGTTAATAGCACAATGGCCCCCCTCAGTGGGTCTTCTCAGCATAGTGTAGGAATTCATTGAAACATTGTTTTTTTGTATAGTTACAATGGGATCTAATTACTTGTCTTGTCTTGTCTTTTTTTTTTTCAGATCATAAGTACGGCTTTCATAGCACTGGGGACGATTGTAGCTTTTACGCCAGATATCTTAGCCATTCTGTTTAAAGCTGCCGAAACATCTGCCGGTAAAGAATATACTTTAGAGTTAACTATATAATATATACATCTATGCATATAAATATATATATATATATATATATTACAATTATTGTAAACCAGGGGTTGGCAACCCACGGCACGCGTGCCAGACTTGGCACGAAGAACTATTTTCGATGGAGCGCAGTAGAGCAAAAAAAAAAAAAAAAAAAAAAGACATGAATTTAAGCAGGCGGTGCAGTTAAAATTTCACGTTGTCGGCACGCTGCATAAATTAGAAGAACCGCTTTGGCACAAATCTATGCCACAAGGTTGCTGCCCTGTGTTTTAGACAATCCGTAAGTTGGGCCCTATTAAAAAAGATAAGGAAATTTAGTTTTTTTTCTTTTCATTTAATTAAAAAAAATAATTATATTTTACCTATTTACCTAGGGGTGTGTTGGTGGGGTATGTTGGTGGGGGTGTGAGGGGTGGGAGGGTGGGTGGGGGTTGTTGAAGTTATTATTTCACAGCCCAACCAAATCTTGGTGCTTAAGCACGATCGTTAAGGTAAATCTATGTTCATGCTACATAAATAATACAAACCATAAAATATACACCCTTTAAACGTATCCTTATCATTACACACAACCTGACCAGTGGTGCTAACGTAGGGTGTACGCACCCCTCCCCCCCCCCAAATCCAGGCCAATGTTCTAGTGGGGGCTTCGGGGCAAAAAAAGTCGGGAACCATCGACCTAAGAGAATTTCAATCCAAAATATTTATTTTGCCTGTCAATAATTGATACTGTTCAGTTGTTTCAGTGATGTTCGATTGAGAGAATTTTATTCCAATTAGACATTCTCATTTTTTGTTTTGTTTTTATCTATTTATAAATTTGCTTTTAGCTCTCACCAGCCACCCAATTCCGCTATCTGCTGACGTCTTGAATGACTTCCCATTGCTCTACGAGTTAGGGATTGGATTATTCGTTTTAGGTGGTGTTCTCTTCATCATAAGCTTCCTGGGATGCTGTGGGTCGTGCTGCAGTTGCTTTGATTGGATGTTGATATTAGTAGGTAGATTTGATATTAGCAAGTAGATTTGAAACTAGTGAGTAGATTTGAAACTAGTGAGTAGATTTTATATTAGTGAGTAGATTTGAAATTAATAAGTAGATTTGATATTACCAAGTAGATTTGATACTAGTGAGTAGATTTGACATTAGTATTTAGATTTGATGTTAGTAAGTAGTTTTAATATTAGCAAGTAGATAAGATATTGGTAAGTGGCGACGGGCTGGAGGGACGGGGATGGCTGTACACAGAGGCGGTCAGCCAAATCTACGGATGGACAAACGGACAGACGTACAGTCATTCTTGACGAGGTTGATGTCAATTTTGTAATAATTACATAATTACAAAACTTGCCCAACACAAGACGACGTGTGCAGGCTTTAAACTCTTGTGCCGCATCAGCGCCCTTAAGCCATGTGACATCAAAACGGTAAACCAGGGGTGGCCATTCCAACAAGCCTTTTGTGGTCCACTTTGGTACTGAGTAAACAATTCGCGGGCCGCGTGTCATTACATCTTATATGAATTATTAAAATAAACCCTCAATAAATACAGAATATAATTGTTCTATCCATTTCTTAATGTGCACAATTAAATGCGCAATAACACAAAAGAATACAACTAAACTGATGTGACGTCATTCTATTTGGTTTTTCTACTCACTTGTCTTTTTAAAATCCATTTCTTTGTCAGTTGGCAAAAGATCAAATATACTAGTTTGTGTTAAATCAGGCTTAAGCGGGCCACTGTATTTAACACGGGGGGAGGGGGAGAGGGGGGAGGGGGGCGTGGCATGTGGGTTGGCCAACCCCTGAGATAAACTCTCTCACTTTGTCTTCAAGATTGAATCTCCTCGCTTGACAGCGTTGCAGTCCTCCCCAATTGAGATTTAAACAATTATTCTTAACTTAAAATGTAATTCCGTACATGCTGAAACACCGTTCATTCGACAAACAAAAAGAGATAATTACAGAGAAGGGAGCCCAGAAATACAGACGGACGAACAGATGCACGTAAGAGTTTCTAAAGATTCAAATCCAGAAAATTTTTTACACATTTTATCGCTTAAAAAAAAAAAAAAAAGGTGATTTTTCCAGTCACCAATAGCTAATATAACTTAGGCAGGAGCAGCCTACTTTGTATAGTTGCTAGGATTTATTGAATGTCGATTTTGTATTTCAGTTTGCCGTTGTCATGGTGATACTTATGATTGTTGAAATAGTGATTGGAACCATGTTCTTTGTCACGGATTCTCCCGTAAGTTACAGATGGATATCAGTATTAATTTAATAATATAACCATTTTGTTTAAACTATAGGGGAAAAAACAAACGTTGTGATATGCATCGTGACGTGACGTAAAGCTGTGGATGGGTGACTGCGCCAACCGAACTGAAGGGTCAGCACGGAGCAGGCGAATCTGAGTACCTCAGACGTGACCAGGGTGGTGTGTGGGGGGGGGGAGGAGTCACCACTAGGGTGTAGCCTAAGATAGCCAGGTGCATAACGGGTAGTTACCTCAAGGAAGAAGAGCGTGTACACCTGGGCGATTACAAGAGTTGTTGGGTGCACTGTCACTTTTATTGGAATGTGATGAGGGAAGAAATGAGTTCGTTGCTAATAATCGTTTGATGCGGATACGAACCGTAGTGTGGATTAAATTCAGCAGTATGGGACCCAGACAAACTAGGAAAAAAACAACAACAACAAAAAACAAACAACACTGCGTAAAATTCATAAAGCAGTGCTTTTCAAACAAACTGTGTCGCGGAACAGCAGTGTGCCGCCTGCAGGTTTTAGGTGTGTCGAGCTAAAATAAGCTTTAATGAAGTTCCCGCATTTTTTAGTCATCGAAGGAGCCGATCGGATATACGAATCGATCATGCAAGTTTACGCTGTGTCCTCTTTTGCTATACATGTAGATTATAGATATATAGTCAAGTCTCCAGTTCAGTCTTTAAATAGCCAAACTCATTTAATAGCAAGACCGACATGGTTATGTGAAATTTATGATTTAATAATAGGTTTAACCTTATTTTGGACATTCCACGCCCCTTTCCGCCATTTTCTTTGGTTTAAAGAGTACTGACGTAAGGCTGCATCAATTATAAAGATGTCAGTAATATGTTTAAAGAAAGAGGTAGAAGAACTTGGATTGACAGAGAATGAGATTCTCGAATACTGAGGAATAGAATCACGGAGAGGAAGAATGGAGAAAGAGACATCAGTAGAGTGGAGGGAAAAGAGAATGCCAGAGAGAGGGAAATAAAATACTATTAGAGAAGACAGAAAGTCAATAGAAAGACAAGCTGAATTCAAGGAGATTAAGAGACAAGAAGAGAGGCTGAATAGTATAAGCAGAGACGAGAAGAGACAGCTAGATAGCTAGATATATAAATAGAGCGACAGATAATTAGATGGATACATATATATATATATACATAGATAGATATATATACAGATAGATAGATAGATAGATAGATAGATAGATAGATAGATAGATAGATAGATAGATAGATAGATAGATAGATAGATAGATAGATAGAGATAGATAGATTAGATAGATAGATGATAGAGAAAAAGAGAGAGGGAGAGAAAGTACCAAATGTTTAGGAAAATGAGCTAAGGCAAGCTCTACTCAATATTATATTTATATATATAAAAATATGGCTGGAACTTATGTAATGATCAACTTTCAACTTTAAAAGATTTGTGTGTGTGTGTTCGTGTGTGTGGGGAGGGGGGGTGGGAGTTGGGGAAATAACATTTTAATACAGCGACCTACTTAACTACTCTTAAATCTTCAAAAGAATAATGCTTACATTAATCACTCTTCTTGTTAGTATAATCTTTTAATATATTTATACTTGATACATAAACAACTTATATATTTAATCCTTACATTCTTAGCAAACAGTTAATGTGACTTTCATTTTTTTGTATAAATATTTCTCATTTAATAAGTGTGCTCATTATTTTCAGCTCCACGATTTTGTTCGTCAAAATCTCAAAGACAGATTAGCTCATTTCGACTACAGAGAAGACACCAAAGACTCCTTCAGCATCGCCATCAACCTGGTCAACTACCTTGTAAGCATATACATAAATTTAGAATGTTATTGTTTGTAAAAATAGCCTGGTCGACTGAAGTAAAGAAATAACCCATTTGGCTTACGGCCCGTCATCATAAAAGTTCAGTCTCTAACCTTGACCCTACAAATTTTATCGGTTGTTAGCGATGTAATTTTCATAATTAGATCACATCTGAACGTTAAACAACTTGGACCCTAACAAATACGGCAGAAAACCTATTAAACACATGGGAGAGGAAAGTTCTACGGATAATACAAGGACCAACAAAGGATGAATGTTTAAAGCTGTTAAGTAAGACAACGTATGAATCAAATAAAAATACACAACACAGTAGACGTTTGTGTAGTGATACATTTTGCATAGGCCTTTTCCAATTTATGTGTCATGGACAGCGTAAAGAAACTTGATGATAACTCAATGAATAATTTTAAAAGAAGACATTTGTTTATGGACTGTGTGCAACTATTGAGTGTTGTTTTTCGCTTTAGTTTAAGTGCTGTGGAATTGATGGAATTGAAGACTTTCCAAACCCCGACCTTCCAAAGCCAGAAACTCTTTACTCTTGCAGTACTGAATACCCTCCATCAGTAAGTATTATTTCAATGTTCATAGTTTCAATTGTACTCTAATACGGGTTTTTAAAAAAATCACTTGATGCAGAAAGAAATCTTTAAAGGGTGCGAGTGAATAAAAAATTGTAAAATAAAGTAGTGTTTACGAATAGGCAATGGTATACTAAAAATACGGCAAGAAAAGACCTTAATAATCAATATATTTAAAAAAAAAAAGAGTTTGATTAGATACAAATATCAGTGACTATACAAGTTTGAAACACAGCAAACTCTGCTAAAGCAAAGCGTTTTTCTCATAACGGAACACCTATAGTCTGACGAAGAATACACTTCTCTAAAAAGTGAACACCGCTTTAATAAATTTAATTGTCATTTTGGTAAATATATATATATATATATATGTTGTTGTTGTTCGTCCGTCGAAGTTGACAAGAACCATCGAATCATCCGGTTAGGGGCGGGCCGGGGGGGGGGTTGGGATTACGGTGAGCTCTTAGGTGGCTTGTTAGACCGATCCTTGCTCGGAATAATCTATGACACCGTGGGCATGGAATAGTTGCTTCAGGCGATGACCTAATGTTGCTCTTTCGGACAAGCCTGCGTGTCTCAGCTGTGGTTATTCTCTTAGCTTCATGGGATTTAGCCCCCTTCTTGACAGCAGCTTTCCATCTGGCTCTGTCCTGGTGGGCTGTCTGCATCCATTGAGTAGGGTTTATGCTGAAGGCCTTTAGTGCCACTTTCAGTGAGTCTTTGTAACGCTTTCTTTGGCCTCCTTGGGAGAGCTTGCCTATCGTGAGTACTCCAAAGAATATTTGTTTTGGGAGCCGGTGGTCTGCCATACGGGCTACGTGTCCCATCCAACGGAGCTGAGACTGCATCAGATGGGTGAAGATACTAGGCAGGTTCGCTCTAGCGAGGACCTCGTTGTCGGGGACTTTGTCTTGCCACCTGATATATATTTATAAAAGTGAAATTTTGTTTGTGGGTTTAGGGGTTTGTTCTACAAAGGCTTTTACATGGGTTTATGGATCTTGACCAAACGTGGCACATATATCCATCATGATCCAGAAGGAAATCTTAAGGGGTTATAAACTTTTTATAACATTCCGTTAGGGGCCGGGGGCCCCAAATTCGTTTTTTCCGTATATGAGCGATTTAAAAATAATTAGAAACAAATACTCCTACATGAGTAGATCGATCTTGACCAAACTTAGTACACATATACTTTATTATCCATATTCAAATATCGAAGGGTACTGGACTCATAATATCCATTTCTCTGGGGCCGGGGGGCCAAGTTCATTTTTCCTTATATAAGCTATATAAATATCAATAGGCTTATGTGAATTGATGGATATAGGCCTAGCGTTGTAGCAATACCCTTCTTTTGCTGTATTGATCTATCGCTGCTTTAAAACTAATAAGATCCAATCTAGAATTTTCCAGAAAGTTGCATAATTTAAAAAAAGCGACATCTATGTCATTTTAAAGTAGCTTTTAATGGGGCAAATTTTAAATTTTAACTTCATTATTTATCTGTCTGATTTTATAGGGCCCCTATCTCAGGCATATCCATATCGGTACATTTATGGAATGCCCACCACCCCAGGGGCCCCTCGATTAACTTAAAAGAAATAGGATTATAATTATGGCATTTGTTGAAGATTTTTATCGTATTTGAAAAATAATTAGATAAGTTGTTTTTACACATGTTTCGAGCAGGTTATTAAATTTAATCTAGAATATTCCAGAAAGTTCTAAATTGTTCCACGGGGATTTATAGTGGGGTCTAAAGGATAATGAAATTTTAGTTAGTTCTATTCATTTCTATACTGCCCCGGAGTTTACTGTTATCTCAGTTCCACTGAAGAGTTTTTTGATGCAGGATACCAAAGGGGTCGGGACACCATCATAATCTGTATCCCAACGGGATTAGGATCCCACAAGAAAACGGGATGCCACCGGGATCGGGATCCCAACCTTGAATGTATCCACCAGGATCGGGATCACACCGGGAAACGGGACTGCGCCGGGATCGGTGTCAGCATGGGATTTGGGTCCCAATGGGATTGGGGGTCCCACCAGGACCCGGGTCCTAATGCAATCCCGTGCAACGCCGGTGATATTGGCTAGTTTATATATATAGGCCAAATAATAGAACCTGATCACGAGAACTCAAGAACAACACGCCTTACAAAGTTACTAGTTTGTCTGTTAATTCCTCTTAAACTGCAATAAGTTCCAGCCAATAAAAACACTACGATTTTATGTTGCCTAAAATGAACACATTCTGAAACATGTGTATAAAAACCATAGTGTGTCCGTCAGCGTGTTTCTTCCTTTTATTTTTAGTTCATGTTTTGCAATCGCTTTTTATATGTTTTTTCACAGCATTCTGACATGCGATGTTTTATTGTTGTGTTGATGTATATCATGTAATACAATTACATTCCGCTTGCTGTACTCTCAGATATTACATTACAGCTAAATGTGTATTTTAATTTTTAGATTTGTTTTTGTTCGCCGAAGAAGACGTCTTACCGACATGTTCGTTCTTTTGTTTCAGTCCCTTTTTATGGTTTCTCTTACCAGTTTTTTTTTATTACTTGATTAAAAAACAACAACCCACTTAATCGTTTCCAACAGTTTCAATATATTTTTCATTTCCTCAAACACTGCTGCGAAGCAAGGTTATTGATTTAGTTTTGACATGAAATGGAAAAATTACGTGAGTTTTCAAGTGCCCGAGTAATGCTGCAATCGTTACGGTTGCAAACATTGTTCCGCAGATGTAAATATTTTATTAACTCGGTACTTTTCATGACATGACCCAATTTGTGTGTCTTGACGCAGATTGTCCGCTACCAAGGTGGATGCTACACCAAGTTGACGGACGTCATACACGAATACATTCTGTATGCTGGCCTGGTGTTTGCGGCACTGCTCCTCTTTCAGGTAAGTTTGCACAACTCACGTTGGTCATAGCAGGCCATTGCTTAAGTTACGCCGAACAACAGAGTGTCGGGGTGGGGCGAGCCTCTGTGTGAAATTCGGAAAAATAATAAAGGAAAAAAAAACAACTAATCTTTAATCATAACAATTACCCATTAACACCCTCCCTATTCACCGATGCTCTCCCTTTTCCTCCAAAGTCTTTCTTACCCTTCTCTACCCTTTTTTTACCGCTTCTTCTCTCCATTTTGTCCTCTCTACCTGCGTCTCCTTTCTCAATGCTCTTTCTGCCTCTCCCTCTTACTCCCCCCCTCTCTTTTCCTCTCTTTTCTTTCCTCTCTACTCTTACACCTTTCTCTGTCATTCTCTTTCGTCATTTCCTGATCATCTTTTATCATCTCCCATAGTTAATTGTTGAATTAAGTATTATAATGAAGCATGCTAGTTAAAGCTCTATCCACAAATAGAGGCAGGGGCATCAATTCAGGTTTTTTCAGGGGGAGGGGGCTGGGCAGAAACCAAAACTTGGTCGGCTTGTTAAGTTGTTAATTTCTGGAAGCGCCACAGTACATAGCAATTTAAATAAATCATGCAAATTCAGGAAGGGGGGGGGGCGGTAAATGTCCCACCCGGCCCTACCCAAATGACGTCCCTGATTAGAGGTATGCGGGGGGGGGGGGGGGGTTGATGCATTCTTAGTGTGGTAAATAGGTCTCAGATATCTGGTTAGAGGCTGTGTTATGTAGAACACTTTTCCCACCCCCCCGGCCCTCCCCAATGGCGGCCCTGGTTTGGGGGTTGGGGGGGGGGGGGAGAGGTTGATGCATTCTTAGTGTGCTAAATACGTCTCAGATATCTGGTTAAGAGCTGTGTTATGTAGTACACTTTTCCCGTGCTTGAACTTTGTTTCACCCCACATTATCTTCCTTGCAGACGGTAGCGTTTGTTGTGGAAGTGGCTTAGTATTTGATTTATCGTGTTTACTACCGCCCACCAATTAAACATGGTTACTATGTCTCCTAGTATCTTGTCGAACATTCGCGATTTGCTCTAAAAACGTAAACAAATGCTGAGTAGCTTCTGGAAGGCAGGGCTTACTTACGCTGCATATATAAAGGGATTGACAGACACGGAGAGAGAAGTAGATTCAGAGAGATATTATTAACTTTGCGAGACAATTGTATTATTCTTTCTCTGCTCATATGTGTTTATTCGAATTCATCATTCATCATTATTAATTTGCACATTGAACTAATTGTGTACCGTTACAAGATTTTCCAATACTCTGTAAGTTGATGATTTGTAATTATAGTTCTTTTGTTTTGTAATTGTATTATTACTAAATTAAATCTTATTAATTGTAATTGGCAACAGTTTTGGGTGTCGTATTTTTGTTATTGAATATTTCTCTATGGTATCGTCCTTTGTTAGGCACTGTTTGAACGAGCCATACAATTAAAATAGGAGATTAATTTCTCAAAATGGAAGCTAGTGCGTAACAAGCTGTAATAAAGATTTGTTAAAGGCATTCTATCATGTTTTTTTTAATTCTCATTTCTGCTCACTTGCTCAACAGCTCATCCAGGTGATTTGTGCCATCGTCATACAAAAGAAAAACAAAGTTTCCCCGTTCTAAAGGAACGGACCTAACTACCGACTAAATGACGCTGTCATGGTTTTGTTAGTCATTTCAATCAAACTAAATTTTTATTTTATATTATATGTTTGGTGTTTAAAAAAACAACATTGAATTAATTTAAGTATATTTTATAATAAACTAACTAATTCTTTAAAGTGTCTTTTTAGATTAGTTCACCAAATAAAATAAAGAATGAATTTTTTTTTTTGTGTATAAATATTTTCTCCTCAATGTTAATAATTTCGTTTAAGTGTCTATTACGTAAATGAAATAACATTTAGTTGGATGCTGTTTGCGCAGTGGCCCAGAGAAATCTGAAACTTGACCTAACTTAAATTTAAAAAAATAAAATGAACAAGTACTCATTGCACTTTATTTACTTAACTCAATAATTCTTATGGATTTATCAAACCCAAAATAGAGAATTTCTCAAGAGCTGGGACTTGAGGCATCAAACAAAAAAGTGTAAAGAAAACGATTAATTAATATTAATCTTAGAATAACATATGAAAGTAAATGAAAGGAGAGAAGATAATGAACTTTGCTGTGTAGGCTATTACAGTGTTAAAATGTTTTTCTCTGTACTTCTTGCCCTTTTCCCTATGAAAGATATCTGATGTTACTTTCAGCAATTTTTAAAAAAAAATCTCATTGCACTTTATTTACTTAACTCAATAATTCTTATGGATTTATCAAACCCAAAATAGAGAATTTCTCAAGAGCTGGGACTTGAGGCATCAAACAAAAAAGTGTAAAGAAAACGATTAATTAATATTAATCTTAGAATAACATATGAAAGTAAATGAAAGGAGAGAAGATAATGAACTTTGCTGTGTAGGCTATTACAGTGTTAAAATGTTTTTCTCTGTACTTCTTGCCCTTTTCCCTATGAAAGATATCTGATGTTACTTTCAGCAATTTTTAAAAAAAAATCTTACGTGAAAATTCTCCATTTTCTGTTTAAACTTACACATTAAAAAAATGTTTATTAAATTTCACATTTTCCGTCCAGAAACACGTTCATTACAATATCTAACAGATCTTCCTCATACAAAATTGAAACCGTCATGTTTTGTAGGCCTATACCATTTTTGTTTTGTTTTGATGACTTTATGAATGAAGAAGTAACGGTAGCTGCCCAAGACTAAACATAGTTAGTAAAAATTAAATATGTTTATTTTCTTTAATCATTTATTTTAAAATCGATGACATTTTGTGTGTGTTGTGAATGAACTCAAAGATAATTTTTCTTATTTTAAAATGTATACATACAGGGAGATAACTCACCGTTTATTGAATAAGAGTAGCTTAGAGTTATGTCATCTTTACAAGACGTTAAGGCTGGAGCGCACTCAGTTTAAATAAAAGTATTTATATTTGTAGCTCTAAGTAATCCTTTGCACTAAATTTGCATTCAAATTATAGTGTTACGTAATTTTTATTTCCAATTCTGTTTTTATTGAAACAGAATCTGATTAGTTTTAGCGAAAGATTGTTTATTTTATTGATTATTTTTTTTCCGTTTGGAAATATTTTGTATTCGATTTTTAAATATGAAAGCTTAAAAAAAAAAGTATATAATTGCTGTCTGTGATATAAAATTTACTGAACTTAATCAGTAGATTTTTAATTTTTATTTTACAAAAGAAAGATGTGATATTCAAAATATTTCTATGCATATATATTTATATATATTTAAAATAAAATCCTTGAAAACAATCTATGATTTTACTCTGTTTTTGAGCTGATTTAGTAATCAAATATTGTATAAAAAATTAAGATCTTAATCAATCTGGTTCTATCAGAACTTCCCAGTATAATCAAAGAGTGGGGTACAATCAGAAACACCAACGATCTTCTCATACAAATAACGGCTCTGCGTGAACACCAATAAACCGTTCATTGGAGAATCGAGGCTTCGCCAAAGGGAAGCCACTTTTGAGAGCCACTTTCTTATCGATTATGAACTATGAATTTGGCCATTTCCTATTTAAAAAAAAAGAAAGAAAAAAATACTCCCATTCAAGAGTAATGCAGAATGTTACGAAGCTTCTTCTTTCAAGACCAAGCAGAGGAACTTTCAAACTGGAAACTATGATCACATGACAGTAGGCTCAAGTCCGTATGCGTGCTTTTTTATGTGTATTCTTCTTCAAATTTTTAGGCCCACCCACCATTGCTCGATATTGCATTTTTATAAAGGATTTCTCAACAACTTTGTTTTTAAATGGGTTTGTTACGTGTGGCTCATGCCTAGATTCTCACAGCCACAGAGTTAGACTTACGAGATAGTATAAATATTTTTTAAACAATGTTGGAGGTTGGCACTGTACAAGAAAGATGGGGGACCATAAGCCAATATAATGGGATTTGAGTAAAAAAAAAGATGAACATATGAGCCAAGATCAAGGGCTATGAGTGAACAAGATGGGTCTATGAGCAAAAATATGAGCTGTGAGTGATGGGATTGCCTTATGAGAAGATAACACGAATGAAGTATCGTATGCACCCACGTTCATCATGTTCTAGTTTAGAGGATATTCACTCCGAAAAAAACAAACAACAACAACAAAAACAAACAAACAAAACAAACGATTCACGCTACTTATAAAATTGAGCTCCTGTGCGCAATGAACAGTTTCAATGACTTAGTTATCAATATAAGTAATAACACTGTTATCGGTTTCTAGGTAATTTATCTTTCTGGGCTTGGCACTAACTAGATCTCACTCTGTCGAGGAAGTTAAATCTGAACGATTAACAGATATGTCCTTAACAAGGACAAGGGAGGTAACACTATAAATGTGTACAAACAACCCTACAAGGGGGATAGATGACATATATTGTAACGATTGAATACCTTATAAAACGGACATGCAAAGCGATATATAAATGTCTACGATACCAGCTGGTGTGCACGTTTATATACCCAGCAATAATCGTATATAAAAGCGCACTGCCTTCAACTCTTTTGGTCTTTGGGGAAAAAAGACGTACACTATGAATTGGTGTCTGATGTTTAAAGTAAAGAAGGCATCATACATTAGAAACGGTTTTGATGAATTGATATCTACATCACGTCCTCTTCATCACAGATAGTTAGAGTCAGCCCGTTCGTGACGAATTCTTTCTCTCAGGGCGAGGACTAAAAGATAGACAAAATTTCTTTGTTCCAAATATGTACGAATTTACCATCGTGCTCCCCCCGAAGTAACAAATCTTAACGAGAACTAATAAGTTCCTTATATGACTAAGGGAGTTCACTGAATGGCTGGCTTTTTTTTTACTAGTGAAATGATTTTATGTAGATGTATTGTGTTCATATTGTTTTAGTGGAAAAATGTGGACTTTAATTAAAATATCGAGAGATTTATGTGATGAAAATGTATACCAATAAAAACATGTCCATTTGTTTGGATCAATAGAAGAATCTTATCTCATTTTATGAGCTCTGTAACTTGTTCTTAAAGGAGTTTAATTATGTGTGCCGTAGCTAAAGGCCTGCATTAGCAACCCCATGGCAAATGTAATGAACTTTTAAAAAAAAATTGAAAGAAAAAAATAACATGCATAAAAAATATAGGCTGAAGCTTTATTGAACAAAATCACAATAAGATTCATAAAAATTCGATTACAATATTTTGGTCTATGCGATGTCCAAGAAGGTGACATGCTTCCAGTTACCGTGTTCAATTTACTTCAGTTAATGAACTGACCCCCTTGTGTGGTCCATTGGATAAACAAAACATTGTGACAGTCTTTGAACAAAATCAAAATAAACAACACATGTCAAAATTATCTTTAGCAATACAATAATATTTTCTATAATTTGGTTTGATTACTATTTAGGAACAATATGACCTCTTAATTAGTCAACCCGCTAAAAAATTGATAATTTTTTATGTGTCTTCTGACTATGTTCCTGTCAATAAAGGTGTACCCCATTTTTAACCATATCACTTGGTTTTCATGGTCACAAAAATTCAGGTATCGTGTGACTACCATCCCTGTTTTAGATGTAATGTATTGAGTCTGAAGTAGCAGTTACAGTTTTACTATAAGAATGCTATCAACCATTGCACGGGCTCATTAAACTTTTTTTTTTTTTTTTTTTCTTTTAACCTAATCCTTTCGTCTTGATTAGGTCGCATCCTTTCCTAAGCTATAACACAAAGAAACATCTAACATTTTTTTATAATGTATTGTGTCTGAAGTAGCAGTTACAGTTTTTCTATAAGAATGCTATCAACCATTGCACGGGCTCATTAAACTTTTTTTTTTTTTTTTCATTTAACCTAATCCTTTCGTCTTGATTAGGTCGCATCCTGTCCTAAGCTATAACACAAAGAAACATCTAACATTGTTTTCCTGCTCCTCCTCGCTGCTGCAGTCTCTCATAGTATAATGGGAACTTCTTTGAGTCGAAATTACATCATGAAAATGTTAGCAGCAGGTGTTGCTGTTCTGATTGCGATCACACTATCACAGGGCAGCATCGGGATGCAGGCATTCAGTCGTCGGATGTGTACGAAATGGATACCGCTCTTGGTGTCCTGTAACGAAAGAATGATGAGGAAATAAATCAATATGCAGTGAATATACTTTGTTTAATTCTTTTAAAACAGGGGTTCTCCAAATTTTTAATTAAGGGCCCAAATCAGTATTACCAGACAATGTCGGGGACCGGACCGGGTTATAGTTTGAATACACCATGAACTAATCCTATGCACACTGCACATTTTTCTGTCCCATACACACTGCACATATCTTATTTCTATGCACTGTACATATATCACTTCTATGCACTCATCTCTTTGTACATATATCAATTTTATGCGCAATGTACATATCTCAATTTCTTTGCACCCTTAACATATATTAATTTCTATGGCCACTGCACATATTTCATTTTCTCTCCAAACTGCACAAATCTCAATTCAATGCATTCTGCAAATATCTGCTTTGTATGCACAGTCCTCGTATTTCAATTCTACGCACACTGCACATGTCTTAATTCTATGCACACTGAGCATATTTCGTGTTTAATTTAAAAAAAAACAAAAAAAAAACAACAACTTATTTACTGTGATGAAAAAAAATGTACCCAACAGAAACATAACATTTTTTTTGAAAGGAAATTTGAGATGATAAATGTCTGGTTCCATATTTGTCTCTGCTGGCCAGATACTCGTAAGAAGGCCACGTGGACTAGGATTAATGACCCTTGGTGGGCTGGATCTTGTCCGCGGGCCGTAGTTTCAGCTATGATTCGTGTTCGGAAGGGTTATTTAGCATTTTAACAAGCATAATTTAAGCTATGAAGTGTAAAATAAACCTAAAAGAGTCGTAAATAAAAGATTTACACGGAAACAAAAAAAAAGATTTATTTGACAAGCATTAAACTATTGAATTACGAATGTAGTGGCGACGCTGTCTTATAATTAAAGTATTAGTATAGAAAAAGTAAGCCTATCACATAATACATTTTGCTGACAGACGTTTAAAAAAAAATTCAGCATCATCAGCCATGAGAACAAATCGATTAATTTTAAGAAGTTTAATAATGAATTTTTAACATTAAAAAAAACAAAAAACTGTTTTGAATTTTTTTTATAAGCAACTATAGAAATAGTGTTTTAACTTATGTTTTAAACGTGAAGAACAAAATCCTCAAATAACAGATCGTTTTTTTTTTTGGTGTTATTGTTGATTCATTTGAGTCTACGTCGAAATAATTTTTAGATTTTCATCGGTACGTGGGTGGTAAAATCGTTTTAGAACCACTGCTCGACTCTCTCTCTGTCCAACCTGCTCAAAACCTGACTTCAACCAGCTCCCCTGAATTTTTATCATATTCAAGCCAGGTGTTATTCTCTTACCTGGCCAAGGAGTCCTGTACTGTTTGCACGTGGTCAACTGCGACTCCTTTCAACTGTATGATTCTGTGAGAAGATGATAAATGAATTGGACTTAATGAACATGACTCACTCTTTTCATTATATTTACGACCAGTGGTAAAAATTTACTGAATTAATTAAAGGAAAAGTTAAAATCTTAACTTTCGGCTTCGAAGGCGTCTCGTTTAAAAAAAAAATGACAACATTGTGTAGCAAAATTTGCCTTTCTTCCACCCTTTACGTTAACATCTTGTAGTAACAACACAACTCAATTAACAGACCCCC